TCTTGTGGTGAGTTATTTCGAAAAATTTATATTATAGTTTTGTATAATTCAGACGATTAAGATTAACAAAAAATCATTGATACTGAAATGTTTTGTTAACAAAGCTATTCCATAGTGATAATATTTTAGAAATTGTTTGACATATATTCACGAAGAAAAATTTAGAGCAGTTGTATTTTTTTTTAGGTTACGAAGAATCTAAAAAAAAAGTTTTCAAATAACCAAAAAGATTCTCTATTAAGATTGTTGAATCTAAAAACTTCAATAAAATTGTTTGAATAAGAGTTTTCTAGCATTCATTTGGAGCTATTTTGGAATGTCCTTATTTGATAGAGCAAAATGATATATATCATCTCTCTTTATGATGTTTCTTCATCGAACCACGGTTGAAATTATAGAAGATCGAAGAAATACTTTTGTTTTTATGAAAAATTTCGATATATTTGACATTTAGGGATCTTTCTAAAATCCAACACAGTTCGATACACGACCCATGCCCTTTGAATCGACTAAAAATTGCCGATTAATCCCGATTCATCGAAACGATAATCGTGAGCTGAATCGCGATAGAATTGCCGATTATTCCCGATTATTTCAGCGATTTTTACGATAAATCGTGATTTTATGCAAGATTTAACCGTCTGTTTACTGATATTTTCTACTATTTCATTGGTTCTTTTGGAGACACATATTTGGATTTTTTCTTGAATTTAATTCAATTTTTTTTGTTCTCAAGATCCAAGCCGAACATATCGTGCGATCTGTCTGATCTCGAGCTGGTCCGATTCTTATCAGACCGCTTCAGTGTAGTCCTCTCCAGTTCATGGATCGGGATTGGCATTTCCTTGATTAAAAATAACCAAGAAATAATTTATCAGAAAAGTATATTTCGAAAACTTATTTGTTATGCATTGAACGGCGTTGTTTATATATCCGTCTGTGTTCATAACAAAACGGTGAATGAATAATTGTCATGATTTATCAATGATTTTTGAAAATCAGCTCTTCTCCCATAATCGCGATAAAATCTGATATAATCGTCGATCTTTTAAAGAAATACGATAAATCACGATTTTACGCCAATTTTTTAGAAAATCGCGAAAATCTCGGTGATTCTCACGACATGGGGAAGATCATGAAGAGAACAGAAATATCTCATTTTACTCTATCAAATAAAACTAGCTGCAATAAGCTTGAAATAGACGTCAGAAAAAATAGTTTTGATTATTCAGGCACTTCCATCCATGCAAAATTTTCAAGTACACCAACGCTGATAGAAAAATTTTGCAATGCTATGTTTATTTGATACTTTATTTTAAAATATTTTCTTAGGTTAATATTCAATTACCGGATACAAAATTAAGTGATATTATTTTGGATATAACAAAATCATTTCTTGATTGTCGCTGTCCGAAATAGTAAAAGTTTTTATTTATTTTTTGGTAACCCGTTAGTTTACTTATTATGTTTTTTGTTTAGTCGTCTAACATTATCATTACCTCATCCTGTTGATCCTGATAATTCTCAAGCAAAGTGGGATAAAGATAAATGTTTACTTCAAATAACACTAAAACTTGCTCGAGAATATGATGATTTCAATTTTTAAATTTACATTAATAAATAAATAAAATGTTTCTTTTTTTTTTGTCTTTTTTCATATGTTCAAAATAGAAAAAAGAAAATTGTATGAAATCATGTTTTGTTTTTTTTTAGATTAATTTTTAATGTCATCCAATAATAAACGATGTTCATCGGGTATTTCACCAACAACACAAATACAATCTCCTGGATCATCAAAACAAGGTTCAACATTACCTCGTTCAAAAACATGTGGTTTTACTAATACAACATCATTAAAATCTAAATCAGAACGTCTTCAACCACTTGTAACAAACAAAAATTCACAATTAAATAATGAAATAATTGTAAATTTTTTTGTGTTTTTTGTTTTTCATTCTTTTTTTCTAGAGAAATATTGTTTATATAGCTTGATGACATTGATAAACTTCCTCCAGCAATGGTTAATGAGCTTTGTTTACATGCAAGAGGACTTGTGACAATACCAAATTTATCTCAAGTAATTAAATAAATTTTATACGAAAATCTAAATATATTTTATTCATATATTATTAGTTTAGTAAATTGCAGATGTTAGATCTTTCATGTAATAATTTAATACGTATTGAAAACTTAAGAAATCTATCGGTAAAATAATAACTTAAGAATACTTGTAAAAGGTATATATATATATTTTTTTTTTCTTTTGTTATTCTTCTAGAATTTACGTGAATTAAAATTATATGGAAATAAAATTGAACGAATTGAAAATCTCGAATGGTATTTTGTTACAAATTACGACTGTGAATCGACTTATAAGAGCTGTATTTATAAAATTGAATCTTCCGTTTTTCATAAATCATAATAGATAGTGTGAAAAATTCTACTCTCATGAGATATTCTAACATAAACATTATTACATGACACATCAATCTATTTCGATTATTAAATTTATTTTACGAGCTTTTATTCATTAAATTGAAATTTTATAACAAAAGAAAAAACCAATGTCCTATTCAATAGAATGTATTTTGATTAGCATATTTTATTAATATAATAATTGATAAATTGAAAGGAGTGTTTCGAAAAATTTTTCAGTATTTATTAATAAAATAAATTTCATTTGTTCCGCTGTTTTTTTTTTCTTGAAAAACTAGCGTTAAGAGCGTGAAACAAAGGTTTTCACTAAATGTGTTTATATTTAAAATATTATAAGCTAAAAAAAGTAATTTTTGAATATTAAATAGTGCATTTTGTAGAGCATTCTTCAAGCTATAAAATCTTCATACAAGAGTTTTTTCTTAATGTGCTTAAATTTTTCAACAAAATAAACTTTTTTGTTATTAGGGACATGATCGACTAGGAATATAGAAACTAGATGGTATTCGAGTTTCGACTCGAATACGAAATGCGGTGCGAAGCACACGTGCCGAGAATCCGAAAAACGAATTTCGTACCGAAATCGAATGAACGGTCTAAATATTGTCGAAATTGCTTCTTACATTCTAAGTCAAGGTTCAAAGATAATTGAAGTTTTTTTCAAGTAGGGATAAAAGATTAAAAAGAATTTTTTTTCGAACAGCTGATCTAACCTAGATCTGACATGAAAGGTATCCATTATGAAATTGATCACTAGAGAAACTCTACTAAAGCGTATCGACAGACTTCTAGAAACTATTGTTTATTGATCGATTAATTATCTCAATGATTCATTATCTACTATCAGCTGTATTGACAGCTGTTTGACATATGAGAAAAGTAAATGGCGCCTAACTTTCTTTTATTTTTTGAATTTTAATTATCTCAAAACGAAAAGCAAATAAATAGTTTCATATTTGTCATTTTCCAAAACCGATTATGAGGAAATTAAGCATTTTCAGAACAATATCAATACAAAAGTTACGAGTTCGATCTCGATACTTTGACTTCGCGTTGAAACGAGCTTTCTGTGAGTTTCCATTCTCAAGATCATCGCACCAGAAAAAGACAACTTTTGATGCGTACGTCTAGTAAGAAAAAAAGAAATAAAAAAAACTCGCGCCCGACTACATAAATGCTGTGCTTCGCACCGCATTAACAACACATCTTGTGGATCTCGAGATGATAACAAAATAAAGTGTTT